CAGATGTTGTTAATGCATAAAAGAAGGAAAAGTTTTATTTTTTATTTATTTAGTTTGTCAATCATGTACAAGATAACAGGAATAAGAATAAACATGAATAAGAATACAAGAAATGGGTACAAATAAATGGGGACAGTAGGATAGGGACATTAGGCACACTGGTGCATGTATCACGCCCCTACTGACCTCTTAGGAATGGGGCAGAGGTGGGTTGTTCCTGGTTCGGCCCGGATCGGCTGAACCGGTAGTAGTGGTGGGGTGGTGGGAGGCTCCGCCCACCCACCCAGACACTTCTGCGCGTGAACGTGTGAGCGAATCGGTAGTAAAAAAATTAGAAACCCACCACTGGAATGGGGTGAGGTCAACAGTAGACAATTTAAGTTTGACTGATAGTTAAACCAAACTATAATAACTTCTTGCTCAGTGGAAGAACAGATAAGGGAACTGTTCTGACCCCCCTCTTCATACACCAAAGCACGTCGAGACAAAGATACTTCAAGAATTTATTAACACACAGACTAGACCTTGGTAGCAATCCAGCCTGCCAAGATAGCCACGATAGCTTCTCCAGCTCTAGTAAATACGTTGATTCCTGCGATGAGCTTGTGGAAAGCCATTCCTTTTATAGTCTTGAGAGGAGCCTAAATTACCACCAACTGAGTTCAATTATCTCCTAATTGAACACACTAACTGTGTAACTGTTCTTTATGCCTATTAGCCCTCTGTTGCCGGGCATCCAGGACCAACTCCCTTGTCTCCTCCCCACTGCTCCAAGGCTTGACTTCGGGAGCACACTCCCTTTGGCTCTCACCGCTATGCCAGGCCTCAGGCGCCTCCTGGTGGCCAACCAGCCTCTCTGCGCCCTGCTCGGAGTCGGAACCCTGTCCAGGGTACTCCACATCTTCCAAAGCCGACTCATAGGGCCCCTCGCTGTCGGAGTCTGGTGGCAGCTCCAATGGCTCCTGCTGGGCCACAACAGATCATATTGGCACAACTGGTGAAAGCCAACTCTGAAAGTTCCCGTGGCTTTCCCCTAATTAAAAAATCAAAGTTTCCCCTTCCCCACAAGTCACTGGTCACGCTGTTCAATCCAGTTGCTGGCCAGTTGCTTGGTTACTTTACTCCTCCTCTGGCCAGCTACCTGTGAGGATGTCCTTGCTTCCCACAGGAAAACTTTATTGTTTTGGCTACAAAACCCCACCTAACTATTTCCCCCCTCCCTCTATTGTGTGGCAACCCTGAAGCCTCCAAAATGGCCTCAGCCAGGTTCACTTCAGGGTTGACAGTTACAACAGCACTGAAAAAGCTGACTTGCGACCAGTTATCACACTTACGACTGTTGCAGCATCCCCACAGACATATGGTCAAACTTGGCAACTAGCATGTATTTACAATGGTTACAGTGCCGTCCCAGGGTCCTGGGATTGTCATTTGCAACCTTCCTAGGGAACATATGGCAAGCAGAGTCAATGGGGGAAGCCAGATTTGCTTAACAACCACATGATTAACAATTGTGGTGATTTTCTTAACAACTAGGGCAAACAAGCCATTAAATGAGGCAAAAACTCACTTAACTGCCTTCCTTAGCATCGTCTCAATTAATTGAGGACTACCTGTATTAATTTGAACGTTAATATTTTACCCTTTTTAAACTATTTTTCTTCTACCTCTAAAATTAAAAACTCAAAAAAAGTTATAGTCAGGCAAATCTCTTCCATCCTGTACTCAGTGCAATGTGCTTATCTAATCTTCAGCTTGCGATTGAGCCAGCTTCCCACAACTCCAAGGACAAATCCGATTGCTTCCTTCAGTCCTTGTTAAGAGTTCTGTAGAAATAACTTTTTGTCCTTGTGGCATTAAATACATTTGATTTGAAAGGGAATCCCCACTTGTACTGAATTTCATTCTACCTGTTTTATCTGTCAATGGTCTGAATTATTTCCTTCATGCAATGTAGCTACGCTGCCATCTTGGAAAAAGAATATTGTTTTGCTGTTCTATTGAATCTCCTTCAGCCCAGTGAATGAAGAATACAAAGAACTTCAGCTTCTTCACTGCTGGGAAGAGGAACGTCCTCAATCTTCTTCAGGTCTCTCAAATAAGATTTAAACCCCTTCCCTTTGTGCAAAGTCTTCTTCCTTAACATTAACATTAAATTATCTTTCTATTTGATAAGATATATAGAAAGATAAACTGGAGCTGGATAGAGATAGATAGATAGATAGATAGATAGATAGATAGATAGATAGATAGATAGATAGATATAGATAGATAGATAGATATAGATAGATATATAATTATACAGATATTGCTTTTTTCTTGTCAAACCACCTGGTGTGCTCAAATATGGGAGGGAGCATACTGCTTCCCTTTCGCCTTTCATCCCTATTCCAGGAGCCTTTCAGGCATTTGCTTACATGACAAACCATTTTGTATTACACTTCGCTGATAAATAAATGAAGGGAGGGTATGGCTAGCTGATGAGAGCTAAATTGCTTGAAATAGATCTATACTAGTCTCCCTTCATTTATTTATCAGCAAAAATGTAATGGTTTGTCATTTAAGCGACTACCTGGAAGGCTCCTGGAGTGGGGCTGAAAGGCGAAAGAAAAGCAGTACGCTCCCTTCCATATTTGGGCACACCGTGCCCAAAAAAATACTTAATCACTTCCCTGGCTTAGCTGATAAGGGAGGAGAGCTTGTGGCTTAGAGGTTAATACAACTGCCTAATATGTAAAAATAGCCCAAGTTCAAATCCCAGCAAGGGTATGGCTAGCTGATAAGAGCTAAATAGCTTGAAATAGATCTATACTCATCTCCCTTCATTTATTTATCAGCAAAAATGTGTGTGTGTGTGCGTATGGTCGGCAGTTCAGTGGTTCAAATCCCAAGCGCCGCTTAATGCAGTGAACTCCCATTACGGCATTTAGTCATGCCGGCCACATGACCACAGAGACATCTTTGGACAGCACTAGCTCTTCAGCTTAGAAACTGAAATGAGCACTGCCCCTAGAGTCGGGAACGACTACCACATATGTGCAGGGGGAATCTTTACAATATATATATTAATAAAAGGTGAACTGGTTATATATTAATAAAACAAAGAACTGAGCACAGCATTCTCGTCAGTGGCTAGCCAAACTCCCCTATGGGTGATTAATATTTTTATATGAAAAATCATTCCATTGAATAAACCAAGAATAAGGTGTCCTGCACAACAACCTCCACAATCCCTTGCTGTGGTCCATGTGAATTGGGGCCAATACCAACTGAAGTCTCAAGTATCTAAAAGGCATGACATTCGTCAAAGCTTTTAATGGTAGAGTTCTGTTTCATCCAATAACCAGTTATACAAAGCGTCTACAAGAGCCCTTGTTTGATGGATATTTCTACCTTTGTGTTGGCTTATAGAATGACAAGCTTGCTTGATTTGTCAAGCAAAATCAATACGTTTCCTGTCCATTTCACAAAGCAAAAAATCAGGATGTCAATACACTTTAGTGATACAGGAATGGACATGGAAGCTTTTTTTGGATAAACAATTCCATTCAATATCCCTTTAGTATTGACAAACTGTACATTTATCTACAAAAATTGTCTTTGCTAAAGAGTGGTCCCTGACTTTAATCAATCCAATGCACATTTCCACAATTAACCAACACAATATAACTGTGATGGCAAACCAGTGGCACGCAGAGCCCTCTCTGTGGACATGTGCACTGTTGCCAGCTTCTCTTCTGATTTCCGGCATGCATGTCAGTTGGTCTTTGTGGGTGCTGGAGAAACAGAAAACAGCCCGAAAAACAGCCAAGAAAAAAGTTTTTCAGGCTGTTTTGGGGGCTGTTTTTAGGCTGTTTTTGCCCTGAAAAACGGCCTGAAAACAGGCATGGATGCGCCAGCCAGCTGGTCTTTGGGTTTCCAGTGCTCCGGCACATGCACATCCATGCACATGTACAGGTGTTCCGATTTGGGCAGTCGTTGCCGAAAAGGTTCGCCATCACTGCAATATAATGTCTCAATCAAAGAAACTGTGTCTTCCAAAAGTTTTTGACTTCAGATCATCCCCGACTGTAGGCCATGTTCTTTCAGGATTCTGGGAGCTGAAATCCAATCAATTGGGGAGACAGAGTCTGTTAGGAGAAGGCTGATACTGGTGTTTATCGTTCCTCCAACACCTGAACTGCTTTTTTTCCATTTTCAAACCTTCTGAATGTTCAGGAAAGCCAATGGTGGATCAGGAAGACACACCCATGCCGTCATTTAGTTCTTCTCCTTCTGTGACCAGACTTCCTTTTTTCACTTCCCAGTTCCTCAGGTCTAATTCTACCTGAACTCCAAAAGGCTGTAAAAGAGAAGAACACTGTAAGGATCCCATTACAAGTACATAGCAGAAAAGCCTACTATACGTAGGTAGTCATGATTTGCAACCATTCATTCAGCAACTGTTTGAAGTTCTAACGGCACTGAAAAACATGACATGGCCTCATGCTCATCACAATGTCCTTGCAGTCATGAGATCAAAATTCAGGTGCTTGCATTCAGCAGAGTTCACAGAGAGCACATGCTGGCTGAGGAATTCTGGGAGTTGAGTCCACAACTCTCAAAGTTGCCAAGGTTGGAGGCCCCTGGTGTAGACAACTGTTACATGTCCTCTCACCTGTCGAGGAGATTTCATCAAAGATGCAACTCGACCTGCTTTCTCAGAATTGACTTTTCTCTTCTCCAACAGAAGCCGAGTGTTAGGTATGTAACTCCACGAGCGACCCAATGCTGGTTTAAAACCACCAGCAGCATCTCTGGTCACATGATTTGTCAACTAAAAGATAACAGATAGTTTTAGCTGAGTCATAAGCTGAGGACCACATGTATTCTAAAAGATTTATGGGGCCCATTTGAAAAAAAAAATAGTCTTAAGAGTAAATTTAATGCCAGAGGCTGATGCTTTGTTTAACAGAATCCAGGTGACCCCCCCCTTTTTTTTAGATTAAACTTTAAATAAAACTTTTTTAGAATAACATTTATTCTTCTTGCTTTTTTGTCTATATATACAAAAATGGCTGTGTGTGTGTGTGTGCGTGCGTGCGTGCGTGTGTTCCAGCATAACTCTGGAATGCCTCAAGCAATTTCAACCAAACTTGGAACACAGGTGACTTACTCTCTGGAAAAAAATACTGTGGGGGATAAGACACCCCTAACACCCCTCAGGGTGTGTGTTCTGTTAAGATGCACCCTATTGTGCCTTTAAATGGCTTCGACTGTACTGCCGTAAAATGGCTTCGACTGTACAGCGCAGTGGAGTTGCTATGGTAACGGCTTCACAGTACTCCACAAGGGAGCTCCCTCTGGTAAGGGGGAAAATCCAACATTAGAAATTACATTTGGTCTGGACATTTCCCCCCTATAAATAAATACCCGGGCAACGCCGGGTTATTGGCTAGTTTAGAATAAAAAGCAAGGAAGTGACAGCAGACTTAACGAATTAGCTGACCCAGCTCACACTAGAAGAGCAGAACTATAGCACTTATACACATATAAAGCCAAAAGCAAGCGTAAGTAAACGCTTGGTCCGCATACTTACCAATACGGCAATCCCAAATTCTTTGGCAAGGCTTTTCATCTCCCTAGCCAAATGCATCATGAGGGCCATGCCTACAAAGGGAGAAGGAGAGATTACCCCACTTAAAGCTATACAATTCTCTTTATTCAATGTATTTCTCCTAGACCAGGAGTGGCAAACTCAATTTGATTGAGGGCCGCTTCAGGATTGTGTTTGATCTCAGGGGTGGCGTGGTCAGGGTGAGTGTGGCCAGCATGATGTCACTCGTGTTGAGGGACGCATGTGGTGATCCGAGACTCTGCCAGCAAAAACGGCCTCCCGAGCTCCATTTTTGGCTGTGACGACCTCCTGCAACTTTCCGCCAGTGAAACCGGAGCTCAGGAGGGCCGCATGTGGCCCTCGCAAGCTCCATTTTTGCTAGCAGAGGCACCGCGGGCCAGACCTTTGCTATTTCCAGGGAGGCCCCATGGGCCAGATCTAAGCAATCTGCGGGCCGGATTCGGCCCCTGGGCCTTAACACCTCTGCTCTAGACTCTGGGGGTTGTCTCAAAATATGCACCTATCTAGCAGAAGGGAAACAAGAAAAACTTTCTGTATCACATCCATGTTGGAGAAGCCTTCAAAACTGTATGAGCTAGAAACACCTAGCTCTCTAATTAAAAAGGCCCTTGCTCTTTTATTACTTCAGGGGGAAAATCAGTTTTTTAATCACCTAGAAGAAGTGTGAACCTAAGAATACTTATTTAGAATACGATTGATGCAACAACCCTTCAAGGCACGAAACAGGGGAAAATAATGCCTTAGATTGGGAAGGACATTTTCTGGGCTTGGATGACTTTCTTTTTTTTTTCATAACATGAAGGACATCATTTTATAGAGGGACCATCTATTAATAGAGGGAATTCTGGGAGTTGAAGTACACAGGTCTTAAAAGTTGCCAGGGTTGGACACTGCTGTTTTAAGCTATGGACAATGTAGGATAATGTTTCTGTAAAATAATAGGACCATTAATGAAGCATATTGAGAAACATTCTCTGTGATGATAGATGTACGTAACTGACCGTCGGGCTGCCGAAGTCCCAAGAAAGGGCAAATTACAGCAGAAATGGAATCCACAATCAGCAGCTTCACTGGTCCAGAGGTGCTGAGTATCTTTAAAAAAACAACAATAAAAACAAAGGGCAAATGAAATAAAATTACAAATGCGAATCAGAAATTACAAAAATGGGTACCTTTCCTGGAATAGAATAGTAGATGAGGAAGATGAAGCATCCAAAAACTCAACTTTGATTATAGTTTAAGATAGCATATAGGCTCCCATGTCCTGTATGCTATCTACGCCTAAATTCTGCACCAGGAAATACTAGTCTTAGATCAAAGGTATCTGAATAGGCTGGGAGTTATTTTAATGATATTGAGTAGATCTGTAATCATAGCCCTCTTCAGAAATTCGGGAGAATAGATAAAGCTAAATGGAATGGTGAGGTTGTAGTGGGGGTTCATCATAATGGGTTAAGAGAGGAAAGGAGAAAGTGGGAGATAGTGGCCAGTATGACAATCCAGCTTTTTTAAAACAGAGAACACAACTTGGCCTTGGTCTAAAAAATGTTACCCATCCTGCCCTCCTCACCAGTGGTGAAATTATTGTTTTTTTACTACCAGTTCTGTGTGTGTGGCTTGGTGGACGTGGCAGGGGAAGGATACTGCAAAATCTCCATTCCCACCCCAATCTAGTGCCAGCCGGAGGTGGTATTTGCCAGTTCTCCGAATTACTCAAAAGCTCTGCTCTTGCTTCTCCAGAACCTGTCAGAGCCTGCTGAATTTCATCCCTGCTCCTCACCCTTCTGCCACTCATGTATTCTAATAAGCCCACAAACAACAACATTGGCCAGTAAGCACCTACCTGCTTGGCCATGTAACTGCGGACTTCCTGCAGCACATCAAGCATTTTATAGGCATCAAATGCACGAAAAACCTGGATTCTCCGCAATGCTTCAGCCTACAGAGTAATGGGGTAAGGAACAGGGTAAGGTAATACACCTGTCAAGTTTGCATGCTCACAAGGATAAGGGTCAAAAAACCTAAGAAGGTAGCCACAATCATGTGACCAAAGCCTCTCATACACACATACACACCCCCCCGCTATCTTGGTGTCAGACTTGGAAGCCATCTTTTGCTTTGGGCCTTCAGGCCTGCCATAATTTCTACTGTGGGAAAATGGGAGGGGGAGTATAGGAGATATATAGTCATAATAACATTCCTTTCTCAGAGAGCGAAGGACATCTTGCCCTGCTACTGTGCTGGTGTGGCTGGGAGGCATCTAAGGTTTTGGATGATATCTGATTGGGCCATGTGATGGACATGTGGGTGCTGGTCAGGGACTTGAACTTCCATTTGGATGGGGAAAACCTGGAAGCTTTCAGATTCGGGTTTCCCCAGATGTGCCAATATGACATCTCTAATAAAATGGGACTTTGAGGAACTTCAAGACTCGGAGTCTTCTTTCGTTGGGGGTCTTACTTGGGACCCTGACACTTGGAGCCGACAGCAGCAAACTAGATCATTGCGTTTGGTGTTCAGAGCCTCAGAATATTGTTTTTAAATGAATTAATCTGAGAAGCATCTTGGTCTAGTGATTAAGGTTATCAGCCTAGAACAGGGGGGGCAAACTCAAGGCCCGGGGGCCGGACGCGGCCCTGAATGAAATTGAGTTTGTCACCCCTGGCCTAGAAGAAGTTCTAATCCTACTTTAGGCACAAAAACTGGCTGGGTGACTTTAGGGAGGAGGCTTCTGAAGCACTGTGAGATAATCCCCATACTGGTAATCGTTTGGAAGCCTCCTTCGCCAAATCATATGATTTTTTTTTAGATCAAAGCTTCCGAATGACCGCAGGAATGGTGCTTGTTTGCAGAATGGCACAAGGCAATCTCATTAGCAAAGCCATACCGTGTATAGCAGGGGTGTCAAACTCAATTTTATTGAGGGCCGCATCAGGGTTGTGTTTGACTTTGGGGGGGAACCAGGGGGGGGGGCATGGCTTGACATCACTCGTGTCGGGGGTGCATGTGGTGCCCCGAGCACTCTGCCAGCGAAAACAGGCTCCCGAGCTCTGTTTTCTGCTGCAATGGCCTCTGCCAGCGAAAACAGAGCTCAGGAGGGCCACCTGCAGCCTTTTTCACTGGCAGAGGCACCTGCTGTTTCCAAGTATTCCCCAGCAGCAAGAAGCCAAGACCTCATCCCGATAAACCCCTTTTAATTAATTCACAGTGAATTCCTCTCCAGCAAAGTCCGGGCTCACAGTCTTTCAAGATAGTTCACAATTACAGACCTTTATCAGGCTTGGAGAGTGGCCAGGCCGATATTTTTCAGATGCCGCAATACTTGGTAAGAATACAGGAATGAACTAATTGTCTCCTGCAAACACCTCTCCCCTTTCACTCATCTTTTATTCCCAATGGGAGGGGCCATTCACCGTTCCCTTGTGGCTTTACTCCCAAGTCGGCTCTTGAACCTTAGCTGTTCCCTTTGTTTGGCAAGTCTGTGCATGCGCACACTCCAGCTGTTCGGCTGCCTCACTAATATCTAACTCCGAAGGTAGCTGATAACTGTCAGACAGCCCTGGCCCCATCTCTGCCTCCAATTCAGAGCATTGTAAGAGCCTTCCCCAGACTCCAGGTGTTCCCCCCCAACCATCTCACTGTCCGAATCTGCTGCTAGCTCTGCTAGCAGGCCTTGAGTTTGACACCCCTGGCAGTACTAGGCAGGCCTGTCAGCAGCTGCAAAATATCCAGAAAGGTGAGTGGAGTGCTTTGTGCATGCTGGTGGACCCTGTAACTGGTCAAGGCCTCCTGGGCCTGGTAGGATGGGGAACAGGCAGAGGCCTCTGGGCTGCAGCAACTTGTCTGTGCACAGGTAGGACAAAAGAGCAGCTAAGATGGGAGAGAGATGGTGTGCCCCTGTGCTTGTAACTGTGGATGGACTTCCAAGTATGCAAATCCACTGCAGCAATCGGCAGAATTAGTCTGCAGTACTGCATTCTAACCACTGCACCACCAGGCCCATCTAGATACTCTTCTAGGTACCAACACCCCACAACAAGTACTTTCTGCTCAGCTGACCTGCTCTTCCTCATCCACAGTTAAGCAGTTCAGGAGCTCCAGTAGACGTGCACTGGTGAAGCCCCCAGTTGAGTCAACGTACAGGACAGTCTGCTTGAGATTATGGGATACATTTGCAGCGACAATGAAGCACACCTAGAGACACGGTAAGAAGCAGAGCTTAAGATTTGTGTGATTTCTGAAATTAGGATGCACAAAAGCAGCCTTTTGTAGCCGACCTTCCAAAAGTTTGGAAAAAGCCAGCAAATCACAAGCTGGGACTTCAACTCCCAAGATTTGTCACAGATTATGAATCTTGAATTTGGGGAGCATGAAATGCCAGTCATTTGGAGTTCAGATAGCATGATAAACCACAAAGTTAGAATACAGAGTTGCATACAAATGGAAGCAAAATGAGACTGCATCCAAGCACAATATCCAATATTTAGCTGAATGAGTCTTGCAAAAATTCCCCAGGGGTCTGCATCTACTTAGAAAACTTCCTCCAAATTCTCAAGCAGAAAGAAAGTTTTTCTAAGGCAATGCTTACTAGCACACAGACACGCATCATTTAGTAAAGACCTAATAGGGTTTGTTTGTTTTTTTGCTGTATGTAGTATACAGCAAAAAAAAAAAATCTTCATAAGCAATTAAATTTTTTAAAAGGAAAACCATTGGTTTCCGAAGAGAAGGTGTGGGAGTAGTAACCATGGGTATTAACCAAGCCTTCTTGCCTATTNACTGGAAGTTTTTAAGATGTTGGACAACCATTTGTCTGAAGTAGTGTAAGGTTTCCTGCCTAAGCAGGGGGTTGGACTAGAAGACCTTCAAGGTCCCTTCCATCTCTGTTATTCTATCCTATCCTATCGTAAAAGTGACACGGTTTGCTCAGCTTCTTGTTGGAACCCAGTCATTTCCTTAGCAAAAGATGCTAACCAGACTGTCACATTAAAGCAGAATTGGCTTGGTTCGTATCATTTATATTACATGCTCATGTCTCACTTCCTTAATTTCTTTGAACCATTTGCTAGCACAATTGCAGCATCGTATAGAAACAGCATGAAACATTTAATGGTAGCTAATTGATCCACCCACAATTACCACTTCTTGCAAAAGCTGCATGAAAGAGAAAAAGCATGCAGCAACCTTAACTGAAAGGAAATATTTACCTAATTTGACTTCAAAGGAAATACGTCCCAACCCCATTTTTTCTCCCCGCAACTTCCAACTCACTTATAAACGCTTCACTTTCCCCGCCGTTTTCTTTGTTTTGATTCCTTCCTAGAGCGATCGCTCCTCCACGTCCTGTTTAGCTCCACCTACTGGCTGGACCCTGAACTTTTGCTTTCAATTCCACTTTACAACAAACTCATTTAGATCTCCATATTTCCTTGGAAATGTGTTTGGTTTTGATATATACACACTATATTGCCAAAAGTATTCGCTCACAACTGCTTCCGATTATGTGGATGGGTGAGCGAATACTTTTGGCAATATAGTGTATATATAATGATGTTTAATACTTTACAATACCATATTTAAATATAATGTGTGAGCAGGTGTGGGTATGTGGCTGGATGGATATCTTTCTATATGAAGAACGGCTGCAGATTTTGAGTCTGTCTAGTCTAAAGAAAAGAAGAATTAGGGGTGAACATGATAGCAGTATTTCAATATTCGAGGAGCTGCCACAAAGAAGAGAGGGTCAAATTATTCTCCAAAGCACCAGAAACTGATCAAAGAGAGAAGCAACCCAGAATTAAGGAGAAACTTCCTAAGAGTAAGGACAATTAACCAGTGGAACAGCTTGCCTTCAGAAATCATGGGTGCTCCATCACTCAAGGTTTTTAAGAAGAAACTGGATAGCTACTTGTCTGAGATGGTATAGGTCCATGATGGTGAACCTCTGGCACGCATGCCACAGGTGGCACGCAGAGCCCGCTCTGCGAGCACATGAGCTGTCACCCCAGCTCAGCTCCACAGAGCATTTGTGCATGCCTCCTGCCGGCCAGCTCTTTTTTGGGTTTCTACCGCACATGCATAGGCGGTGGGGCGCATGCAGAAGATATATGTGCATACATGAGGGGCGGGGTTGCGCAGGGAGCAGGGTGCATGCAGGCGGGTCGTGTGCTCATGGGCAGTGGGAGTGGGGGTGTTGCGCGTGCATGTGTTGGGGTGGGAGGAGTGGGGGGTTTGCGTGCGCATTGCATTATGGGTGCGCACACACGCTTTCAGCATGTGAGGACAAAAAGGTTAGCCATCCCTTGTATAGGTTCTCCTGCTTGAGCAGCGGGCTGGACTAGAAGACTTCCAAGGCCCCTTCCAACTCTAGTCTGATTGATTGATTGATTGGGCCTCCTGCTTGGGCAGGGGGCTGGACTAGAAGACCTCCAAGGCCCCTTCCAACTCTAGTCTGATTGATTGATTGATTGGGCCTCCTGCTTGGGCAGGGGGCTGGACTAGAAGACCTCCAAGGCCCCTTCCAACTCTAGTCTAGTCTAATCTATATATTGACCATATCTTCATTGAATGGCTATTAACACTGTTAATAAAAGCTTATTAATTTCTCATCAGTCAGACTAATTTATTCCTTTGTTTTTTCACAGTATATAGCTCAAAATTAAATCAAAAGGGTTTATTTTTGTTGAGATGTTTTTGTTGTTTGTTTTTGCTTTTTGGAATGTCATTTCTGAATATAATTTCTGATAGGGGTGGTGCGTTCTGGAAGTTACTAGAGATGCCCTGTCTGTCACAGCTGCTGCTGGATCTCTCCAAGGATTCTGGAGTGAAGCCATTTGTTCCAGCGTTTCAAATGTCTCATTCTTCCTTAAATAGAAAGGGAAGAGGGGCTTGTACATTTCGACAGGGTGGGCAAAGCAGCACAGCTCTTGCATTATTGCCTTGAAACGCTCCAACTTTGAACTTTGAACTTTGAACTTTGCCAAAGGCTGATGCAAAATTTGAGTGTGAGGTTTTGTGAAATTTTTAATGGCATTGTTTGTGCCCAATTGCAAACCATCCGATTCATCTGGAAATTAGCCTCTCACCCCTGAGGTTCTTGCTCACTGTGCTTTGTCCTCGGCTCTTAACTATTTCATTGAGCTATATATATACCTCTATCTACTCTCCAGGCAGCCACACTTATCAACTTACTCCAAGAGAGAGAGTGAGAGAGAGCGGTTAAGTGATCCACAAGAAAGAAAGTCCAAGTTGGTGACTATCTCAAGAACTGGGAAACTCTGCAAGGTAAGGAAAGAGAAGCATAAATGGAGATTTAATAGCAAACAGGATGGCGAAATATCCAATAGCAAAACCCAAGGGAATATTTTGCTTGAATGCCAAGGATTATTACAAGTGTATGTATGAGCCTGCGCACTGTGGTTGGATTTCCCCCCCCCCCCTTCTCATCAGATGATTGGGACAATTCCCAAAGGCATCTAAAAATTGTCCAAGTATAGAGGGTGTAGATATTTCTTCATTTGCAACTAACACAATAAAGATTATCAATGTGTAGCCAGAAATATGAAGATTGAAACCAATAAAGCAGTGGATTTATTGGTACTGAAATGGGATCAGGGAAACACAGTTTGTTTAACCAGTTTGATTCTTTGGGTCAAATAGTGTTTCATTGCAACTTTTCATGATTCTGGTGAACATAAGATAAAAGAAGATTACTTGAATATGATAACCCATTTCTGAAAATAACAGTGTTTATTTAATGAGAGCCAGCCTGATATAGCAGCTAAAGGTACTAGTTAGCAATCAGGAGACTGTGAAATTTATTCCCACCTTAAGCACAAAATCAACCGGATGAGTTTGTTTCAGTGCTTCTCTTTCATCCCTAAAAAGAAAAAAACACAGAAATGAATGACTTCTGAAAAATGTTACCAAAAACCTTCAACCCAAAGTCAAGAACCAAAAAAATGTTGATTTATAGAATTTATAACTTTTTATCAGTGAATGGTCCTTATAAATGTATGAAGATATACCATAGGCTGTCTTCAAACTAAAGTCTATTACTTTAGATACATGAATTATATATAATTATATATAAATGATGCCCAAACATACTTAATAATTTATTAATGAAGATGGATGAGAACTATGAAAGAGATCCAAAGTTAGGTACATTTTACAAAGTGATATGGGTAATTGACTTATGACCACAATTGCGTCCAAAATTTCTGTTGCTAAGCGAGGTGGTAGTTAAGTGGGTTTTGTTCCATTTTATGCCTTCCTTACAACAGTTGTTAAATGAGTATCACGGTTGTTAAGTGAATCTGGCTTTATCAGAAGGTTGTAAAAGGAGATCACATGACTCTGGATACTGAAACGATCATAAATATGAGCCAGTTGCCAAGCATCTGAATTTTGATCATATGATCATGGGGATTCTACAATGGTCATGAGTGTGAAAACTTGTCATGTAACTTTTTTCAGTGCTGTTGTAAATTCAAACAGTCACTAAATATATGGTTGTAAGTCGAGGACTACCTGTAACAAAAAATGCCAAACATCCTTGAATGTTGCTGCGAATGATGAAGTTATTAGGAATTCTTAGAATGAAAGTCTACTAGTGAGTGTTGCTCACAGTGTAACAAAGCAAATAAAGGGTAAATTGGTTATTTCCCAACTGGGACTTCCCAGATGTTTCAAACTGCAGCCCCTATCTTCTCAGCCAAGAGAAAGGAAGGCTGTCAAGGATATAAATCTGGCAAACCAGATTAACCCAGGATATTCTGATAGGAACTGTATGGGAAATTGAGATCCCAATTTTTCTTCAATTTGTTTGAAATTAAGAAATTAAGGTAAAACTACTAAAAAAAAATCCAGACTATCATAAGAGGGCAACTTTTCTTTTGTATTTTATATCGTTCATCTTTTTGCTGCCATCTAGTAGCCACCCTCAAAATTATCCCACCATGAATTTTGGCTTTGTCCATTTTGTAGACCATTCCATGCAAATCATGGGGCAGTCTTCTCTCAATCCCCACAACAGAAGAATGGATGGAAAAAGTGATGGAATTAGCAGAGACAGCAAAAAAGACTGTTTTAACTAGACAAAAGAACAGATTCAGTTTTATTTTTCTTGGACTTGCTTGAGTATGCTTGAGACAGAGGGAGAAAAACCAAAATCTTGACTTTGGGTTTTGCTGATTAATCTAGTTGTAATAGAATTGACTTAATACTTGTTAAATTGATAAAGTAAAAAGTAGAGTGTTTCAAAGTTGACATAGAGACTGTAATTCTATTTTGTACTCTGCTGGAAAAAAAAGTTGGAAGTCAAAGAATGCTTTCTTTTTATTTCTCCCTTTATCCTACACCTCTCTTTCCCTTTTCTTTCCCTTCCTAATTTTCCTATTATTTTTCTTTTCTTTTGTATTTTATATCGCATAAACTTAATAAAATTCTTGGTGCAGCTCTCAATTTGACAGAGACTGCATTGCCCAAATTTAAGACTTCGGTTCTTATGGCTGATTATAACCCCGTTCGGGATTGCTTCATTATAGACATTTCTATATTACTTGTATTTTGTCAGGAGATTATCTAGAAGTGAGAAACCTGTTCTGATATCCTCTAAAAGTCCTACTGGTGTTCAACCCATTTTTACAGGCAGTTTTGATCTTTTACTTGGACTCGATTAGCTTTCTAGTTCCTTGCATGTTTTCCCTTCCTCCACTCTACAGAAAATCTTAAGAAATAAAAGACAGAATAGCTTTTTTTTTTTTTGTCTTTTCCTTAGTAGTGACAGGGCCATGTTTTAGAGTTTTTAGAGTTTAGAGTTTTATTTGGCATTTATAGGCCGCCCTTTTCCCTGAGGGGACTCAGGGCGGCTTACAACTCGTAGGAGGGAGTGCAAGACAAAACATAAATATAAATAAAATAAAACAAAACAGTAAAACACAACATTCATTCAGCATTCGGGCGGGGCGGATTAAANTGGGGTCGCGATGGGTCGGACATGACTTCGCAACTAACAACAACAATATCCCAGTTTTCATCTTGCATTTTTTCACATGTATCTCCCTCTCAAGTGTCTCCTCTCCTGAAGGAGAAAAGAGCAGTCAGGGTAGGGTCTCTATTTAGGTTCAGAAATTCAATTTTGTTGCTTGCCCAAAATAAAGAGAGGGCGAAGCAAACCAAAGAATGATTACACTACCAGTTTCATCCCTGGCAAGTCACTGTTTTCACAGCAGCTCGTCTGCCCACCAACCTTGCTCAATCCAGAAGCCTTCACACATGTCAGGCTACAGCTCTTGTCATGCCCAACTCCCATGACTGTCCTGACTATTCATTGTAGGCCAATTTTTCTACAAGCAATTGGGAAGAGGAAGACTGAACTCTACCATATTAAGGGAGGGGGGATGAACTTACAGTAAACTAGGGCTGAATGAATGGTTAATCTGGATGGAGAACTGATCCATAACAGGCAAGATACTGTTTAATGTACTTGGATCCATGTTCAAAGACTCCTCAACCTCAGAAAATGAATTGGGCAATTTAAGGTCAGTCGTTATCTCTTAGTTTACTTCCCTCACCTGGTTGTTATATGGCTATTTATTTATTCATTAGATTTATAGCCTGCCTTTCCTAGAACCACCTTGAATTTCTGGAGGAAAGGTGAGATATGCATCTAATAGGAAAACCAAGCATTGCTGGTTAAAGCTCATTCATGGGATTGTTAATTCTCATTTTCGGCTCACTAAATTGAGCTCCTGTGTCTAATTAAATGGGTTAAACTCCACATGCCAATTTCGTTGTATTTAAGTACAATGACAATAAAGATTATACTTATACATGCCCAGACTGCAGGAACTCAAGTGCCATATAAATTTAATAAACTATTATTTTCAAACACCTATTATTGAATGAGCTGTAAAACAGTAAATGAACAGTAACTGTGTTACCTTCCCCCAAAAGATGATCCCTATTTTTCTACTTGCATTTTTAAATGCTTTCAAACTGCTAGGTTGGCAGAAGCTGGGACAAGTAATGGGAGCTCACTCCATTACACAGCGCTAGCGATTCGAACCGCTGAACTGCCAATCTTCTGATCGACAAGACTGCAGGTCTAGTTAATTGTAGCTAAATGGATGGTGAAAGTACAGCCATTAGCTATATTCTGTTTTTATTTTTTAAAGCAATGGAAAACTGTTCTTGTACATAGCTCTGCAAGGATGAGGAACAATGCCCCCCTACATCTCTGGGGTATAACCCTTATAATATGTCAGCTTAAAAATTAATGGAACAGATCTGGTTTAGATAAAAGGTTCCCCTCAACATAATGCAGTGTTCTGATTAATCACCCCTTGCCTTTCAATTCCAGTAGACAAGATTGCTGTGGTGTGCTTCAACTCTTCATAGAGATCTGCCCCATTGACTGGGAAGGGGGAAAACTGTGCCAGCAACACACGCCGTACCGCAACTAAGGTCTGTAACAGAAGATTATCAATCCTTTACCATCTGCAGCTTTAGCATTAACAACAAGAGACAAAACAACCAGTGGCTGGAGCAGTGTTTGTCAACTGTGGTAACTTCCTGATGCATGGTATCCAGAATTCTCCAGCCCGCATGACTATTATTGAAAATTCTGGGAGTTGAAGTCCATACATCTGAAAGTCGCCAGAATTGGGAAACTCTTAGCTTGATCAAGAAAAGGCCTTCTAGGCCAATATACAGGCCAATAAATTAGCATATCAATTAGCATTAGGGATACTGTTCTCCACTATGTCCACAAAAGCTCCTTAATAGGGGAGAAGAGAGGAAATGAGCCAACGGGGCAACAGTTGACAGAACGTCAACTAGTACCGGAGTCACGAATCCCTGAGCTGTGATCCACTACCAAGCCATTTGCAACTGGGCCACATGAGAGATGGGCTGGCACACATGTATGTGTGCATAGCTTGACTCACTTGAGTAGCGGGCCAGAACACACACACATACAGCTCAACCCGTGTGAGTGGCAGGCTGTTTAAGTTTAAGTTTACTTTATTGTCATTGCACCTCGTACAAAGAAATAAAATGCCATCTCCAGTGTACATCATACATAAGAAAACTAAAATAGAACAGAATTCTTGATTGGCCAAGTGTGATTGGACAACACAAGGAATTTGTCTCTGGTGCATATGCTCTCACTGTACATAAAAAGAGAAGAGACCTTCGTCAAGAATCATAAGGTTCAACAGGTACAATAAAAAACTATAAAACTAAATGTAAATGCGTATGTGCGCTGGCCCGCTTCCCCCCCCCCCCCCCCCAGCCAAGCTGCAAAGGTTAGGGACCGCTGAACTATAGTATAATGAAGAAGGGGTGTGTGTGTGGAAATCAGCACTATGTATTTAAAATTATACAGAAGGGGAAAAGAGATCCCCAAGTAATTTCTGATTAGCCAAGAAGCATTAGCTGCAAACTGTAATGACACCAAAAGTCAGCACGTGGACAATGATATTTAACTGCCACAATTGACCACACTTGCTGATTGCATCATCATTGGCCCCCTTAAACAACCTCATGAAGCTTAGGTCGGAGAGAGTTGGTTATAAGGTGGACAGCTGTACAGTATAAATGTTATAGTTTTTATAAACCCAAGGTACTTTTTTGAGTCTCTAATATCTTCATGGCCCTAAAGATGGACACCCCTTAAATATCAACTCATAGATCAATCTATATAAAACCAATCCCAGAAATGATTTCAAGAGTTTTCTCAATTTTTGTTTCAAGTTCTACAAAACAAATATAAATATCCCTCCAATCACAATGAAATCTCAGGGGATATTTATTTGTTTCTTGTTTTATAAGGACTTGATTAGTCAGAACTAAGCAACATTTTGTGGGGTGAAATATGTAACAATCATCCCTAGACTCCTTGTACTCACCTTGTATGATAAGGAATTCTTCTGGGCAACGTCCTCCAGATCCGATGAGACAAGATCAACCACTACAAAACATTTGGGAAGATAGAGAAAAAGAGATGAAAAATAGGAAAAAGCTTCAGCTGTAATGTAATTTTAATAAAAGATTTTATATAAGCTTTAAAAACTTGAGAAACATAAAAATAGAAAAAAATAAGTAAATATGAATAGCATAGCAGTTAGCAGTTAGACTTATATACCGCTTCGTAGGGCTTTCAGCCCTCTCCAAGCGGTTTACAGAGTCAGCATATCGCCCCCACAGTCTGGGTCCTCATTTCACCCACCACAGAAGGATGGAAGGCTGAGTCAACCTTTGAGCCGGTGAAATTTGAACTGCTGAACTGCAGATAACAGTCAGCTGATGTGGCCTACAGTACTGCACCCTAACCACTGCGCCACCTCGGCTCTGGCCAGAAGAATCTGCCTTGCTCACCACAGCCAATGTAACCCCTAAATTGTGGGACAACTTGCTCCTTATTCTCTGCCATTCAGTCAGCTACCTGTTTTGATGCCATTGGCTTTTAGCACCTGCACCATTTCATCCGAGAGGCCAGGACACAGTCCCACACGAAGGATCATCCCTGGAATGAGCCTAGATAGAAAAGGCAGACAACTGGATCATTTCTACCACCATTTGTGAGATCTGCTAGTGTATTTCACCTGTGTTCTCAGAATCACATCTCTTGCCATGTAGGAATGATATAAGAACTTTAATTGGACCGACAAAGCACAGAAACAGTACTTTACCCAACAATGCATTATTATATAAAACTGCATGCAGACATCTAAAGAAGTGAATTAAAGTTGGGGGGGAGGGTATCCAAATAGGTGGACAAAACCAACACACAAATCTTAAGATGTAGCTGAGTTCACAGAATGGACCGGCCTTAACTAAACTTTAAACTATACTTAACTTTCACCAAAATGAAATTCAGTGGTGAAAAAGTAAAATTCTACATTTAGGCAAGAAAAACAAAATGTACAGGTACAATATAGGTGGTACCTTGTTCAACAGTAGTAACTGTGAGAGGGATCTTGGAGTCCTAGTGGACAACCATTTAAATATGAACCAGCAGTGTGCAGCAGCTGCCAAAAAAGCCAACACAGTTCTANTCCCCTGTGGTTGTAAGCCGCCCTGAGTCCCCTCAGGGAAAAGGGCGGCATATAAATCCCAATAAACCTCTAAACCTCTAAACCTCTAAACCTCTTCTGGCAACTCCATCTCTGCAAGAAAAGTTGGATTTCAGGCCCTTAAAGAATAGGACACATTAATTCAAATCCTGCCCTCCCACTTTCGTATAAGGTAAATCAATATCAATTGTCAAAACTCCTACAGGAAGAGCATAGGATATCTTTGACAGCTTACACCAATGTTGGATTCATCTCCCATACAATGTTGCTTGTTGCAATGTACAAGCTCTCCACAGATATACATACTTGTGTTGCAAAAAGCATTTTGCTATCATAAAGCAAAACAAATGTCAAAACAAAACATTGTTTCTTGTAAGGCCTTTGAAAAGGAGAATCCCACCAAAGTTCACAGCAGTTGAATAAAATCATGATTTTTGTATACATATTGCACGTTTATAAGATTGTCCTCTACCTAAAGTCCAATGAGAAGGTAACAGATAAATTGTTTAATAATCAAATAAGTCAAAAACAGCCAACCTGAGTTTTTCCAGCACTGGGTGATCCAACAAGTTCTGTCACTTCCCCCGTGTATATACCCGAGTCGAGAAGTTTGTCCAAGCTATAACAACAAAAGAGGGGAGGGAAATGAGAATTTCATAACATGTAAATGTTATGATGAATCAAAAGTTGAAATTGATTGCTGGGAGAAATATCAACAACCTCAGATATGCAGAAGATAGCACTCTAACGGCAGAAAGTGAAGAGGAACTAAAGAGTATCTTGATGCAGATGAAGGAGAGTGCAAAAGTTGGCTTAAAACTCAACATAAGAAAACTAAGATCAAGGCATCTGGCCCTCTCAATTCCTGGCAAATAAATGGGGAAGAAATGGAAGTAGTGACAGATTTTATTTTCCTGGGCTTCAAGATGGGGACTGCAGCCAAGAAATTAAAAGACGCTTGCTTCTGGGGAGGAAAGCTATGGCAAATCTAAATAACATACTAAAAAGCAGAAACATCAGCCTGCAAACAAAAGTGTGTATAGTCAAGGTATGGTTTTCCCAGTTGCAACGGTTGGCTGTGAAAGTTGGACCATAAGAAAGGCTGAGCACCTCTCAATCTCAATTTGACATGTTGATCTCTGACCAGGTAGCTACTAATTTATTATATGCAAAACACAATACTTTTTGTAATGCAATCAAACCTGGCAGATGGTTAGCTTATCAGATTAGGAAAAAAAGGAAAACTCGAAATA